TGTCCGGTCCCCCTGCCGGGGCGTGCAGGAAGACGTCGATCCCTGGCCCCTGGAGCCCCACTCTTGCCACCTCGTGCCCACTCCTGGCCCTGCCCTGCTGCCACGCTGCCCACCTCCTGCCCTGCCTGCGGACGGGGGCTGCCCCCACCTTTGGTGGCACTCCACCTGCCTCCAGCATCGCCACCACGGCCACCAACCCTCGTATGGTCCTCGCTCGAAGCCTGGCCACTGGCTTTGCCACTTGGGGATGGCACTTTTTCTGTTCTGGGGGTCTTGCCCAGCCCTGCTCCCCCTGGGTGGACCTTCACACCAGCCCCAGGCCATCCCTCCCTGCGGGGTTTGGGGGTGGCAGGCCCCACATCCCCACTCCCTCCTCTCCCCAGCACAGTGCTCGTGGCTGTCTGGTGGCTGCTGGTTGTCCCCAGGGGGGTGGTGCAGTCCCCCTCGCTCAGCCCCGGCGAGGGCATGGTGGTGGTCAGGAGGATGCTGGCCCGCTCAGCTGAGACAGTGGCAGTGGTCTCTGTGTCATCCCACGGGCGAGGGGTCATGCTAGCCAGCTGGTCTGACTTCCCTCTGAACCTTTGCCCCTCACCTCTCACCTCATCATCATCTTTCCTAGGGATGCTGGCCACCGTGGGGATGGTAATGCCACCACCAGTGACCCTCCAGGGGCCAGGGGTCACCAGTCCTTCTCCACCACTAACGGAGGTGGCACCTTCCTCATCATCTCCTGTGGGACGACCATCCCTGAGGCTGCTGGTGGTGCTGTCCTCCAGGCCTGGGGTGGCTGTGGTGGTCAGTCCTTCAGGCTGCCTGTGGGTAGGGAAACTGTCATCATCACCCCCAGTGACACCCAGCCTGGGCAGGGAGCTGCTGTCATCCTCTCTGTCCACAGTGGTACTGGCCTGGGTGGCTTCCTGCTCCCCCACGTGGATGTTGGCCCTCCCAATGAAGATGTTGATCTCGTCATCCTTGTCTGGAGAGATCTGTGTGAAGCTGGTGGTCCTTGTTGTGCTGCCCATGTTCCCATGGGCAATGGTGACACTGCCCGAGTCAGGGATGTAAGTGTATTCACCCAAACCTTCCGTGTCAACTTGGACATCCTCCATCTTCTCAGTGACGGAGGCTAGAGCGACACCTCCCATCCCTGTGCCCCGTGTGCCACCCTCCTGCCCTTGGCCAGAGACAGTGGCCTCACCACTGCCCTCATCCCCTGCCCCTCCAGCTGCAGGGCCCTTCTCCCTCCTGGCTGGCATCGCTCCCTCCACAGGAACCACCCTGGGAGCACCATCATCCTTGTCCTCACTCCTGAAACTGGACCTGTTGCCCACCACAGCCTCACTGGGACGTTCATCCTGAGGAAGGATGGGAACACCATCATCGACTTCCACCACCAGATCCAGATCTCCACTGCCCTCTGAGCTGGATGGGGTGGGACCAGCAATGCCGATACCGCCGCGCGCTCGCGTGGCACTGCCGGGGCGAGGACTAGAGCCAGGCCTGCCAGCCCCTGGGCTGCTGTGGTTTTTGGGCTTGAGGACAGTCCCACTCTGAATTACTTCAGTGCTGCTATTGTCAGTGTGCTCCGGGGCCACCCTGCCCTCGGTCGGTTCCTGCCTGGCATCATCCTCATCCAGCTGGCGGCCGGGGATGATACTCTGGCTGTCAGCCTCTTCTTTCTGTGCAGGGCACACAAGGGAGAGGTCAGGGCCAACCCTGGTGCTGCTTGGGGCACCACAGCCTAGACAGGGTCCCACTGTACCATCTGGCCACCTCCTCACCTTTATTTGTGTCTGGTTCCTCCGTGTTGAGAATGAGTAGACGTACTTGAAAACGTAGAAGCCATGCTTGGCATTGCAGCCTTTCAGGAATATCTGGTGGGGAAGAAAATAAGAAAATCCTATCATTTTCTTCTTAAATGCATTGGCAGGAGCTTCCCCTGCTGTGCCTGGCACCACAGCAGTGTCCCACCAGTACCACTGAGGCCCCAAGTGGGCAGCAGCACCCAGCACCTCATGGCAGCCAGCACTGACATGGACCTGGGTGGGATGTGGGTGCTCATATCTCATGCTCCAGGGGTTTGTTTTCCCTTGGGCTCATTTTCTGCCTGCGGTGTGGGTTTGGGGGTTTTTTTGCAAGGTGGCTTAAGGCTTGAACAAACAACCTGGTTGATGTTCCCATCAGCCCTAGTGATGGGCCTGATGGCGATCAAAGCCCTGCAAGGACAGCAGCTGCTTTCCAATAGGCAAAACCAGACGCCTTCTTCCACACTACTCATCTGAATTTTGATGCATTTTGCACCAATACACTTTGAAAACAATGTGTATCAGTTGGGCCTGAGAGTTTTAACACCCTCACTGTGGGTACACCAAGCATTTGTGCTCTGAGGATGGGCAGAGGCAGAGGAGCAGACTATGGAGGGGGAAGCCTTTCCCTTTCCCGAGCATGTCACACCTTTCCCCCCTCCTGCTCTTCATAGAATCATAGAATCAACCAAGAGCAGTGCTGGTCTCTTTCCCCACGGCTCACTGGGGCTGCCCTCCAAAAGCAACTTTTTCTCCCTGCACCTCTGGTGCAGAGCATCCCATGGGGTCTGGGTGAGGCAGGCAATACATACCCTGTGCTGTCCCACACAGTTCCCAGCAGCTCTCCCAGGCAGTGGCAGTGGCACCTACGGGCAGCAAAACACAGGCAGGAGCTGAAGCATCAAACACAGGCAAGAGCTGAAGCATCAAATGCTGCCCCAGCATCCAGGCAGCTGCCAGTGCCCAGTGCTGGCCACCCACCCTGCCCAGCATGGTGAGCACCCCACAGTGCTCAGGGAAGGGTGGGAGAAGTGTATTGATAAGGCAATTAATTCCCAGGCACTAACTGTGGTGCTGGATTAAGGCCAGCAAGAGTAGGAAAGGTGAAAACCCCATTTCCAGGGCCTGTAAAGTATTGCTCACATTGCATACTACTTTTCATAGGGTATTGTTGGCCTGCAAATACCCTTTTACTGGAGTCTGCTGCAGGGAGATGGTCCCATGGAGGGGAGTCCCCTTTGATGTCAGCAGAATTAGTCACTGAAACATCCCAGCCCAGCTGAAAAGGGCAGAAACATGTCCCAGAATATTAAATATCCCGAGGATATTCCATTGTTTGTGAACAGTACCAAAGGTTGGATTACAGCCCTGGTTACACAGCAGAGTATTAACTGTTTCTCTTCTGTGCCCCCAGCTGAAAAGCAAAGCTGCGCTGATTTATTGCCTGCTACAGACCTGGCTGTGTGACCTTGCCCTGGGGGCTAAAATACATGCAGCAGAGGCCCAGCCCTCGGGGAAGATGTGCTTTCTCTCCCCCTTACCCTGCTGAAAAAGCAAACCTCCTCTAGGAGCAGACTTTCATTCTAGCTCTGTATTCAGTACCTTGAGCAGCAGTTATGCAGGACAAAAAAACCGGCTGCAATTATCTTAGTTTGCCCTTTGTTTTCATGATATCTGTCCAAATTTCACATTAGGAGAGCTGGAAACTAATTGCAGGCACCCCTCAGATCCCTGCTACCCACAGGGGTAAGGTGAGCATCCTCCCCACACCTCCCTTCCTGGGGCTCTGTTCCCAGGCCAGAAACACTGGGAAGATCTCAAATCCACAGAAATCAAAGGGAAGAGCTACAGCAACCCAAACTGGCTCTTGGCAATGCCCTAATTGCTAGGCTGGAGGGACATGCTCCCCCACCTCAGTGCTGGTATGTATTTCCCCTCCTGGGTTCACCTCAATCCCCTCCCGGAGTACCAGAGGTGTTACACCCAAATCCAACCCCTTTTTCCTGCTGCTGAAAGCACGTGGGGTGTTACACTTCGTGCTTTCCCAGCACACTGGGGATCCAGGGAAAGCCATACTCACAGGTGTCGAGAGGGCTGTGCTGAGCAGGCACAGGCACAGGCAGGTGAGGGCTGTTTGCATCTTGGGCTGCTCCTGGGGGCACAAAGCAAAGCATCACTGGGGTTTGTATTCCTGTGCCTTGTGCTCCCCAGTGGTCCTGGTTAGCAGCAACCTAAAAGCTCCTGCTATTCCAAAGCCCCCATGGCAGTAAGGTTATGCAGCAACCCTGGCTTTTCCCAGCCTTTGCATCTCCCTGCACTCCTCAAAGCCTTTAAAGGGGATGCTCTCACCATATGCACAGAGCACAGCAGCAGCACCAAGGGATGCCCTGACACCAAGTATTAAAACTTCCTAACTCCCTCTCTCAAAGCAGCTTAGGTGGATATTTGCAATAATCACCCCCAGAGCTGCTGCAGGCTAAGCCAGTCAGTTATAAGCCTGAATGAAGAAACCTACAGACTTTTCTCAGCAGCACTGATAAATGGCAGGAGGCAACAGCTCTGTTGGCCAATAACTCATTTCACCCAACCACCCTGGCTTGGGCTTGCACGTCAATCCAGAGACTATTTTCAGCCATACAAGCATTGCTACAGAAAACTCCAGGAGGAAATTCATGCACAGGGATCAGCAGTACAAAGCAACACAGGCTCAAGAGAGCACAGTGCAGAGCAGGAGGTCCCTGTCCCCACTGTGGCTTGCCCGGAGAGAAAGCAGGAGAAGCTTTACTCAGGGAGGGCAGAGCTGAAGGGCTAGGGAGAGACAGGGCAGGTAGCTAGGTAAGATTACCTTTCGCTGTCAGAGGCAGATCCCAGCAGCAGACCATGGAGCCTGTGCCCACTTAGCTGAAATTTAAAGTTGGCCCCGGGTGCACAGAGCCAATCAGCTCCTGCCCAGGGCCATTTGTCAGCGCTGGCAGCACCCGCAGATAACCAGGGGGAGTAATTTCCAGCTAAAAATGTGTTTGTGGTGAAAGACAGCTATCAAATGTTCCACCTGGCTGCATAAACAGAAAGCCCAGTTTATAAATATCTGTTCTGAAGGCAAAATTGCTCGATAATTAGCACAGATCTTAGGTGGCACACATCCAGCTTGGTTATCGATAAGAAGCTGTGCAGTGGCTCTTGGAGTGTGACATGGGAAAGCAGCAGGACTGCAGGAAGGGAAGGGTGATATCCTGGGCGAGGCCTGGTCCTGGCCATGACTAGCACAGCAGGGCAGCACTGGTCAAGTGGAGAGCAACCACCACACCAGAGCTTCTGTCACTTGCATTTTGGGCTTCAACCTCAACCACTTGGAGCTAATCTGCACAAGTGCAAAACAGAATAGTGGCAAAAAAGGTGAAAACATTATATTTCCCCATACACTGCTTGAACAGATCCCTCTGAGTCCTTCTTTGCTATGGAAAGGATGTGCATGATGTTTAGCATAGAATCATAGAATTTTAGGGGTTGGAA